GAGATCTTCTGCTCAGAAAAAAAAAAAAAAAAAAAAAAAAAAAAGAGTCCTTTCAAAATATTGCTGCTCACTGACAATGCAACTGGTCACCCAAGAGCTCTGGTGGCAATATACAATGACTTTAATGTTTTCGTGCCTGCTAACAACATCCATTCTACAGCCCACAGACCAAGGAGCAATTCTGACTTTTAAGTCTTATTTTTTTAAAAATACATTTCACGGAGCGCCTGGGTGGCTCAGTCGGTTAAGTGTCCAACGTCGGCTCAGGTCATGATCTCGTGGTCCGTGAGTTTGAGCCCTGCGTCAGGCTCTGTGCTGACAGCTCAGAGCCTGGAGCCTATTTCAGAATCTGTGTCTCCCTCTCTCTCACCCTCCTCTGTTCATGCTCTGTCTCTGTCTCAAAAATAAATAAACGTTAAAAAAAATTTTTTTTTTTTTTTAAATACATTTCACAAAGCCAGAGCTGCCCTACACAGTGATTCTTCTGATGGATCTGGGCAAAGTAAAATGAAAAACTTCCAGAAAGGATTTCACCATTCTAGGTGCCACTAAGAACATCTGTGCTTCAAAGGAAGAGGTCTATCAACATTAACAGGAGTTTGAAGAAGTTGACTCCAACCCAACCCTCATGGATGACTTTGAGTTGAGGGGCTCAAGACATCAGTGGAGGAAGTAAATGCAGATGTGGTGGAAAAAGCAAACAAACTAGAATTACAAGTGAAGCCTGAAGTTGTGATTGAATTGCTGCAGTCTCATGACCAAACTTTAACAAATGAGAAGCTGCTTCTATGGATATGCAAAGAAATTAGTTTCTTGAGATGGGATCTACTACTAGTGAAGATGCTGTGAAAATTGTTGAATTGACAACAAAGAACTTAGCATATTACATAAATGAAGCTGATAAAGCATCAGCAGGGTTTGTAAGGATTGGCTCCAATTTTGAAATAAGTTCTACTGTGGGTAAAATGCTATCAAATAGCATCGCATATGACAGAGAAATCATTTGTGAAGAGTCAAAAAAATTGCCACAGCCTCCCCAACCTTCAGCAAGCCCCTCATCAGTTAGTAGTCATCAACAGCAAGAAAAGATCTTACACCAACAAAAAGATTACAATTCACTGAAAGCTCAACGATGGTTAGCACTTTTTTTTTTTCATTTTTTTTAAGTTTATTTATTTGGGGCACCTGGGTGGCTCAGTCAGTTAAGCATCTGACTTTGGCTCAGGTCATGATCTCGCAGTTTGTGAATTCAAGCCCTGTGTCAGGCTCTCTGCTGACAGCTCAGAGCCTGGAGCCTGCTTCAGATTCTGTGTCTCCCCCTCTCTCTGTCCCTCCCCTACTCATGCTCACTCTCTCAATAATAAATAAATGTTAAAAAAAATTTCTTTTTAAGTTTATTTATTTTAAGAGAGAGCAAGAACAAGTGGGGGGGGGGGTGCGGGCAGGCAGCGAGGGAGAGAAAGAATTCCAAGCAGGCTCCGTGCCATCAGCACAAAGCCCAGGGTGAGGCTCAAACCCGTGAAACGTGAGATCATGACCTGAGCCGAAATGAGGAGTCAGGCACTTAACCGACTGACACCCACAGGCATCCTCCACTTTTTTTTTTTATCAATAAAGTGTTTTTTCATTAAGGTGTGTAAATTTTTTTAGATATAATGCTCTTGGCACACTTTATACACTTTATACAGTGTATAGTGTAAATGTTAACTTTTATATGTACTGAGAAACCAAAAATTTAATCTGATACCTTTTATTGCAATATTCACTTTACTCCAGTGGTCTGATACCAAACTTGCAGTATCTCAGAGGTACAACTGTACTTTCTTATTCTCTGGCACAACATTCCAGGATCATCTCACACCTTCCAGTCCAGTAATCAACCACTTCTCCACAAAGCCTTGGTTCCATTTATTACAGAATGATGTTTAGAAACCAAAATCTGGGCAATGTGTGTTCACCGCTTCTAGGTGGACAAGGATTATGAAATACATGTATGTATGTGAACCCACACATACACAAACACATCTATATTTCTGTCTAAATTAAATACACTGAGTTCATACCAATACCTCTGATCCCAATTCAACACCCCAGGACTCATTTTAGTTTTAGCCTTTCTCTTTCTCCAACAAGGAGAAAACCTGCATTTGATTATCTATATTTGTTCATCTGTTTACTCAAAAAAAAAATACATCGGGCGCCTGGGTGGCGCAGTCGGTTAAGCGTCCGACTTCAGCCAGGTCACGGTCTCGCGGTCCGCGAGTTCGAGCCCCGCGTCGGGCTCTGGGCTGATGGCTCGGAGCCTGGAGCCTGTTTCCGATTCTGTGTCTCCCTCTCTCTCTGCCCCTCCCCCGTTCATGCTCTGTCTCTCTCTGTCCCAAAAATAAATAAACGTTCAAAAAAAAAATTAAAAAAAAAAAAAAATACATATACATTCTTTCCATTAAAGACCTAATCAGGGGAGCCGGGTTGCTCAGTCGGTTAAGCGCCCAACTCTTGATTTCAGCTCAGGTCAGATCTCACGGCTCGTGGGTTCAAGCCCCATGTCAGGTTCTGCACTGATAGCATGGAGCCTATTTGGGATTCTCTCTCCTCTCTCTGCCTGTCCCTGCTCTCTCTCTCAAAATAAATAAATTAAAAAAATTAAAAAGTCATCTCAGAACTGCTAGCCCATATCCCTGTGAGAAACACATTAACTAGATTAAAATTTTGATGTACTGTTTTTCTTGCCATTGGCTTATACTGTCCAGTCAAGACAGTGTTTTCCAAAGTTATTTAGGGTCCTTATTTCCTTCCCCATCCCCTTTCAGAGTGATAATGTTATTCACTTGCAATACAACTATGTTCTTTTGTTTTAAGATTTTATTTATTTTTTTTTTTTTAAATTTTTTTTCAACGTTTTTATTTATTTTTTTGGGGACAGAGAGAGACAGAGCATGAACGGGGGAGGGGCAGAGAGAGAGGGAGACACAGAATCGGAAACAGGCTCCAGGCTCTGAGCCATCAGCCCAGAGCCTGACGCGGGGCTCGAACTCCCGGACCGCGAGATCGTGACCTGGCTGAAGTCGGACGCTTAACCGACTGCGCCACCCAGGCGCCCCATTTTAAGATTTTATTTTTAAGTAATCTCTATACCCATTGTGGGCTCGAACTTATAACCCTGAGATCGAGAACTGCATGCTCCACCAACTAAGCCAGGCCCCCATTTGTTTTTCTTTTTATGCCCTTTTATGGGTTCTCCGACGCTGGTTATTTATTTTTTTTAGCAGATGAAGGGTAGAGTACTAATTCTAAAAGTCTAACTGTCAAGTATAAATATCAGGGAAAGATGGAGTCATAGTTTTATGTATGGGAGGGGAGGTTTCCTTCTTGTAAAAGTAGAAGAGACTTTAACATATTTACATTAAAAAAAGCAACAAGGAAGAAGTTGGCAAAAGGTCCCTTGTGTAAGGAAAACATGCAGGGCGTTTTATACAATAGTGGTTCTCAAGCTTTATGATGCATTAGAATCACCTGGAAGATTTTTAAGCACAGTTGGCTGGTCTCCACCCCTACCATTTCTGATTCACCAGTTGGGGGATGTGGAGGCTTGAAAATAGAATGCTGGGCACCTGGGTGGCTCAAGAGGTGGAGCGTCTGACTTTTGGTTTCAGCTCAGGTCAAGAGCTCTCGGTTTGTGGGATCAAGCCCCACGTTGGGCTCTGTGCTGACAGAGCAGAGCCTGCTTAGCATTCTCTCTCTGTCTCTCTGTCTCTGTCTCTCTCTCTTTCTCTCACTCCCTTCCCCTCCCTCCTTCTGCCACTCCCTCACTCCTTCTCTCTCAAAATAAATAACCATTAAAAAAAAAAATGTGAATGCTGCCTGTCGAAATACCATAATTTCAGAATAAGTAGGTTAGAGTGAAATCAGAGTAGTTCCAAGACAGAAACATATACACATTGTTTTAATCAAGCACAAAGTTAGAAAAAATACATTAAAATATACTGAATACTATCTATCTCCAGACCATACTTGACATTTATTCAAGGTTTTTCACCTTGTCTTTTATTTCCCATGATCACCTTACTTTCTACCACAAGCACTTACTACCTTTATAACACTTAAAAAACCAAATTTTAAGTGTGCTTAATGTATCATAGCTTTGAGGGGCACCTGGGTGGCTCAGTAGGTTAAGCGTCCGACTTCAGCTCAGGTCATGATCTCACAGTTCATGAGTTCTAGCCCCGTGTCAGGCTCTGTACTGACAACTCAGAGCCTGGAGCCTGCTTCAAATTCTGTGTCTCCCTCTCTCTCTGCCCCTCCCCTGCTCGCACTCTCTCTCTCAAAAAATAAACATTAAAAAAGAAAAAATTTTTTAAATATATCATAGCTTTGTTTATAACATTTCCTAATTGCTATGACTTTCAACAACTCTTAAAAGTAACATTTATCTCATTATATTTCACAATTAAATATTTCTGGTATAAGAAAAGCTGTTAATTTTTATTTATACATCTTAGATCAACCAGTCTCCCAAACATCCTTATTTAACCTAAAATATTTTAAGTTGACCATCACAGTTGTCTATCGTATACTGAGATTTTAAATGCCCATACCCCTTTTTAATCATGTATCCCACTTCCATAAATCTTTAAGCAAATTATCAGAAGCCCAAAACAAGAAAAACTAAAACTAAGAGCAGTTAATATATAGCCATCTCTAGAAAAAAACGATCCAGGAAATCATAATACATTCTTACAAATTATATGAAGCACTTAAGTCCCTTATGTATGTTCACAGTGAATGCAATCAAAGTGTCCATAACCAGCTAAAAAAATAAAGGAAACATAAGAATAACAAAGAACTATGCTAGTTTATAGTCAAAATGGAAAATTTTGTTACTTTTCTGTATTTTCCAACTTGTACAATTTGTTTATAATAGGCAGTAGGGAATTTTATCAATAACACACACAACAAAAACTGGGTATGTTCACATATGTATTATGGTGATGTTCTTTTACCTCAGTTGTATTTGCTTCCGTTTTTGCAACTCTTGGTTTCTGAGTTCTTCCAATCGTCTAAGTTCTTCTTGACGCCTCATTAGATCTATAAAATAAACAACACATTAATATTTCTACCTTCTCTTTCTGTATTTTTAAATCAATAAACATATTATTACTGACAATATATTTAGTAACTTATTCATATTCATGCACCTAGCTTCTCTTTTGTCTATTATACCATCTTATAATGAAAGACTATATAAGCTGTATAATCAAATTACTATCTTTTCTGGACCTGTTTGTTTCTTCATAGGTATGAAAATAATAAAATTCATCCTTATGTTAATAAATTAAAATGAATAGTAATTGTTTTAACATAAGGCCTAGAACATACTAAAAATGGAATAAATGGCAGACATATTTTCATGTACACTTGTAAACACATTAAAATTTTTTTTCAGCAGTGAATATAAAGCACAAAAAGATGCTTTGGGAGACATGAACAGAGGGCACATAAGACCAGAACACACAAACAGAATAAAGAGATAAGATGCTGCTTAAAACCAAAAGAATATCCCTCCCAAAATACAATTAGTGTAAGATTCCTCCTATGCAAAGTCAATTTCTTATAAAAACAAACAATGAGAGAATTCTTTCTTATAAGGGTAATAAAGGCTGAATTCTGATATTAACAAGATCATTTTAATTTTAAACAAGATGAGCATTCCTGCTGTCATGAATCTTTGCTATATCAAGAACAGGGGTTCCAAGAGTAGTACAAGATGAGAAAAAGTACATTTGTTTTGCCCAAGTGCTAAAGAATCTTTGTAATATCTTACCAAATTATTATGTGTGCATACACACATGGATCAAAAAATATTAAAATACTCTGCATAGCACAATTACTGGTTGCTTTTATTTCCCTTTTCCCTTATCATGTTATCTGAAATTTCTAATGTGAACATAAATTATCTTGATTAAATGTTCCTTAACAAATCACTATTATTAAGAACATAACAGGGGTGCCTGGGTGGCTACATCAGTTATGTGTCCGACTCGGTTTCAGCTCAGGCCATGATCTCACGGTTTATGAGTGCCAGCCCCACATCAGGCTTTGTGCTGACTGTGCAGAGCTTGCTCGGGATTCTCTCTCCCTCTCTCCCTGCCCCTCCTGCATGTGTCTCTCTCAAAATAAATATGTAAACTTAAAAAGAAGAGAACATACCAAAATACTAACGGTCACAGTTAACATTCTATGAGTCAGTTACCCTATATCATAACCATGACAAAGTAGGCATCATTAACCTTAACAAGATAATTATCTTTCCCATTTTTACAGACTGAAAACAGATTGAATTATGTATTAATTATGTCAATGAAAAAAGATTTGGACAGACGGGCCTGGCTGGCTCAGTCAGAAGATCATGCAACTCTTGATCTCGGGGTCATAAGTTCGAACGCACGTGGGGTACACTGATTACTTAAAGAAAACTTAAAAAAAAAAAAAAACAAAAAACATTCAGACTGATTATAAATGTACTGTAGCGACACAGGTAGTAGGCACTGGGTGATTCTGTCAACATGCCAGTTGACAGAACACTTAGCTATCTTAAAAAGTCACCAAACACTACTACAATGATTTTTAACATTCAGACCATTAGTTGTCATCCTTAACTGCTCATCAGAACTACTTAAGTACCTTTTAACCACAAAATCTCTTGGGAGGTAGATATCAATATTTTTTTTTTTTTTGGAATCTCCCTAGTTGACTCCACTGTACAACCACTGAGAACCATACAACTATCATATAGTTACTTTAGCTGGAGAAAGCTAGTAGACACCAAAAATATATATCTACCTCAATAAGCCAAAATGTGCAGTGTCCTATTATCACTGATTATCCAAAAAAGTCTATTCAGTATATCCTATAATAATTTTAACATGAGTTTGTAGGCTAGCTTCTCTTAAATCATGGACAAATTACCACATATAATAAATGTAAAAATATGCATTTTCTTCCACGAAAAGGACTAAGACATTTGTTTTCCAACTAGATTTTCTCCTTTTAAGCTATGCCTGTTGAGAAAACTGCTTTACCCTCTCAGACAGTATTTTCCTCATCTGCAACACTGGTAAAATAATTAGCTCAAAGAACCCAACACTAAAATTCCTGAAATTTCACCAAAGCCTATATATTAAACACTGCCAGGGTAATATCCTTCTGGGGAAAAAAATTACAAAAAAATAGAGAGAGAGCTAGAGTGTTTTTTCCTTTGATCCAGTAAATCAAAGTAACAGGTATTTTCTTTAAAAAATATCCTGGGGCACATGGATGCCCAACTCTAGTAAGTGTCCAACTCTTTATTCTGGCTCAGGTCATGATATCACAATCATGAGATTGAGCCCTACATCAGGCTCCATGCTGACAGCTTGGAGCTGCTTGAGATTCTCTCTCTCCCTTCCTGTCACTCCCCTGTTCATGCTTCTCTATTAAAATAAATCAACATTAAAAAAAATAGGAATCCAAAGCCATCCATACACATAAAGACATCAGATGTAACACTACTTTTTTTTTTTTAATGTTTCTATTCATTTTTGAGAGAGAGCGCACGCGCGGGGTAGAAGGAGAGGGAGACAGAGGATCTGAAATGGACTCTGCACTGACAGCAAATAGTCAGATGTAGGGCCCAAACTCATGAGCCATGAGATCATGACCTAAACTGAAGAAGGAGGCTTAACCGACTGAGCCACCCAGGCGCCCCTGGAGCACTACTGATTACTAGACCAAATAACATTTGAAAATCCTTGCCTAATTTAATGATAAATAACATAAAATTACATCTATAATTTTTATATATCAAATACATGGGAATATAAGGAACTAAAGGAGAATACAGACAAATTTAAAATTTGATTTACTAGACTGTAGAAGTGTTTCTCAACTTAATATCCTTCATGAAAACTGAATGTATACTCTCTGATCTAACAAGTCTATTTTCTAGAAATATAAGCATTGAATCTACAGATTGTAAGGGCATATTTAGCCCCAAGGAAAAGCTGAAACACTGTATTGCACCACAAGATGCATCTTGAATACAAGAAAGACCAGACAGAAAGCAGTAATAAGGTATAGTAAAATGTTAGTAACAGAATCTAAGTAGCGAACACCTTAAAATTCCTTCAACTCTATGTTCAAATTTTCTCACCAAAAAAAAAAAAA